GGCATCAAATTCAATGAGTTTCATTTAGGCAGGCGTGTTGGTTTATGAATTATGGAAAATAGGAATGTCTTGAATTTACGGATTTAAACTAGTTGAAGAAAAAAGACGAACACACGTGAAAATAAAATGACATTTTTCCCGACCGAATGCTGAGCGTTTTGTCGGGTCGGGAGAAGGCAGTGACACCTGCATAAAACGAGAATAAATTTAAACGTCCAAATGCGTCGCAAATTTGAATTTTCACGATCAGTCGAGCGAATTCGGGCCGCCATTATCGCGACAAACAGATTATTTCGGTCCAGAAAGCTGATTCCCGTTCTGCAAATCCTATAGAAGTGGCATCTTCTTGCAACGTTCACTTTAGCACTATGATAGCCGGCCTGGACAAGAGGGTCTTCAAAATAATTTGTTCCCGACGTTTCGCAAGCATGAGTGACTTGCATCTTCAGATGTGGTGTCTTTCACTTCAGGAATTCAGGTCATTTCTTTAGAAACCAGTTATGTTGGCGAGTGATTTTGGTACGGGGTTTGTTGGGCAAAGTCCGTTTTATAAGCGGCAATTTTGAAGTTGGAGATTCACTTTCAAGTGCAGGTTTGTGCGGCCGAGTGAGTTCTATGTGTGGAGTAGTTTCGATTTTGAGCCATCATCAGGAAATTTTATAGAAGTGTTTGAGTGCGCTTTTCATTTTTGAAGTTAATGTGCAGGCCTAAGTTTGGCATTTATTTTCTCAAGAGCCCGTGAGTTGGAGATTTGCTTTCGGGTGCAATTTTGTGGGGTAAAGCGCGTTCTATGTGTAGAAAAGTTTCGATTTTGAGCCATCATCAGAAAAGTTTATAGAAGTGTTTGAGTGTGCTTTCATTTTTGAAGTTAATGTGCAGGCCTAAGTTTGACATTGGTTTTCTCAAGAGCCCGTGAAGTTGGAGATTCGCTTTCGGGTGCAATTTTGTGGAGCAAAGCGCGTTCTATGTGTGGAAAAGTTTCGATTTTGAGCCATCTTCAGGAAATTTTATATAAGTGTTTCAGTGCGCTTTTCATTTTTGAAGTTAATGTGCAGGCCTAAGTTTGACATTGGTTTTCTCAAGAGCCCGTGAAGTTGGAGATTCGCTTTCGGGTGCAATTTTGTGGAGCAAAGCGCGTTCTATGTGTGGAAAAGTTTCGATTTTGAGCCATCTTCAGGAAATTTTATATAAGTGTTTGAGTGCGCTTTTCATTTTTGAAGTTAATGTGCAGGTCTAAGTTTGACATTGGTTTTCTCAAGAGCCCGTGAAGTTGGAGATTCGCTTTCGAGTGAAATTTTGTGGGGTAAAGCGCGTTCTATGTGTGCAAAAGTTTCGATTTTGAGCCATCATCAGGAAATTTTATAGAAGTGTTTGAGTGCGCTTTTCATTTTTGAAGTTAATGTGCAGGCCTAAGTTTGGCATTTGTTTTCTTAAGGGCCCGTGAAGTTGGAGATTCGCTTTCGAGTGCAGTTTTGTGGGGCAAAGCGCGTTCTCTCTGTGGAAAAGTTTCCATTTTGAGCCATCATCAGGAAACTTTAGAGAAGTGTTTGAGTGCGTTTTACATTTTTTAATTTAATATGCTTTGGCATTTATTTTCTCAAAATCTGAAAAAGTTGGAGAGTCACCTTTGTGTAACTTTCGTAGGGCAAAGTGTATTTTACAAGTGGAAAACGTTTTGATTTTGACTCATCTTTGGAGAATTTCCAGTATTTTTTAAATTTTGTTTGTATTTTCCACCAAGCCGGCGTTTCGCGGTTATTTTCTCAGAAACCAGACACTTTGGAGATTTACTTTTGCATAAACGTTGTGAGGCACAGTCCGTTTTATAAGTGAAAAAAGTTGAAAATTTGTTTGATTTTCCCCGGTTATGCTCCACCAAATAATCACCTCTTCTCATCTTGCCACGAAATTTTAACGCCCAATTCGCCAAAGCAAATCTGCTTCAACTTTGAAGAACTCGTTTCCCTAACCATGAAGAACGTTCTTCAATAATCACTATCTCGACGTTGCAGGAACCTTCCAAGGAAAATAAAATTCCAACCTGTACTTAGAAGGCTGTTTTTTAGACTTGTTTAAGGAAATCTTCAAGTACCGGCTGAAGAAGTTGAGGAAGGGGTTAAAAAGCAAAAATTTTGCTTATTTGGATACAGTCTTTTGTAGTCTACCGGCGGATAATGTGAATTATTTCGAACACAAATCGGCCCCTAGTCAATAAACAATTACCAATATCGAGTTGATGATCTTGTTGATTGTTCCGGCACGCCATTATGTGGCAATGTGTTTCCTCATGGAAGCGATTTAATCGGCCAATAGCTCCATGTTTAAATATCGGATTTGATTGTTATTCGATAAAGTTCAAAATGGTTCCGAAACTAATCAAATCAAGATCGTGCCGAAATAATTGTAGAATTGATGGCACAAATTAATGCTCTATAAATTGCGCTTGAACCGGACTGAATCGATTTGGAACAAACAGCCTCCACTGGATGATCCTTTAATTAGGATTAATCTGATTTATGGCACGCAGAATATGAAATCGGGGGTAAATTGCACATTTGCATGCTTACCAGTGGACGGGTAATTCCAAAAGTTACCTTTCCTTTGAGTCTGGGCAATAATAGGCCCTACAATGGGCGCATAATCTGGATGATGGTATCGAATGTTCGCCACATATTCATGATCATGGAACACGCAATTGTATCCCGGAGTAATTTTGGCGTCCCGATTTACTACTACTTTGTACCGTTTTGTATGTAAACGGACCGATTTAACCAAAATTGCCCCGGTTTTGTATTCGATTATCCAGCGACTCCCTAGTCGACAATAAATATCCGGGATTATTGCGGCAGGAAAAAAATATTGCCGTAGAATTGTTGAAAATGTCGCCGTTAAATATTCATTTGCATGTTCGACCGAATTGTTGGTTTATTTGGGTGTTTAATTTCATTGTTTGCCATGCAGGGCATGATCAACGCTCGTATGAAGCACTGGTTTGCCACTAAAAGATCATGTTCGGATGAGGTTGATTGTTAACTGTATTTGCATTGGGGGTAAATGAGTAGAACTTTTTTTGGGACAAAAACATCACGATAAGCTAGACTTATTTTTTATATTTCAAGTTTTCATCCGGTCTAAAACTGGTCCACTTTGTAAATTGGGTGTTTCTAGTCTGATAAGTTATTTTGTCTCGTTTAAGTTTACTTATGATTGATTTATTTACTAAAAACGATATAAATTTCGCACTTGAATAAGGTCAGCCAGTTTGCAATAAAATAATCACGCTCTTTTAGATACTTAAGTGCTTGATGGCATAAGCTGATATAAAGAAATATAATTGAATACATTTCCAACAGTCAGCAAAAACCCACTGCAAGATGTATTTTTTAATTATTGCGGCTTTAAGCCGAATGCGGGACCATGACAGTGAACTTTTGCCGTTGCCGAAAAAAATTGGGAATTATCCTTCGCTTTATTGTTGTACAATTCAATGTCATGCTCAGAGACTTTTGGACCGAATAAAAGACAAACAGCGCAATCAAGTTACGGAAACTCATCGAAAAATTCAACAAGGGTGTGGCATAGGGGTGAAAGTCGCGAAACCACAATGGCAAACTTGAAAATGGACTTTGCAGTTTATTGAGGGTTTTTTTGCGGATGCGAAGAACCGTCTGGTCAAGGCAACTTTTAATTACTTTTGTCTGCACTTCTGGCAACTTGCCCGCGTGATTCCGAAAGTCGGAAATCTTCGAGAGGGTTTATTGGAAACTTTATTCCCAGTACACAGAAAATTTCAGAACTTTGTGTATTTTTGTGAAATATGCAGATGCATCACAATGGCTCTTAAATAAATAGAAAAGGGCAGTTTTAGTCTGCTTGCTGCGGACAAATCGCAAAATCGATGATCTGCTGAGATAATTTTGTAAGTAATATATATTTTTTTTATTTTATGCAGCGCGAAAAGTTTAAATAATCATTTTCATTTCATATTAGCATATAAAGTAAATACTGGTAAATTAATCTCCAATTGCCTTTACCAGTTTTTACTGAAAAAATACCACTCGTCCACTTGCGTAAAACTGATTTTTCCAAATAGTTGGGAATGGGACAGAAATTGAAAATATAAAATAAGTAGGAGAAGCTATTAAAGTAGAGAAGATGAATGGTTGAAGTAAAATTCGTACACCTTCTTTGGAGCAGGAATTGATCTGTAAGCGACTAATTTTATGTGTTTTTTTGTTAGGGAAAATAAGCCTCTGGGCTTAATATTAAGAACACATTTAATAAATGGTGCCAAAAACAATTAATGGTTCGATCGTTTTTTTTTGGTAGATTCTGGTCTGGAAACAAGAGCAACCCTCAAATTTCGCTGCTGATTATTGATTCGACAGAAAAAAGTTAATTTATTATTATTTTATGAATTTTTATGGAATTGGATGATATGCCTTTTTGGCTTTGAATTCTTTGAAACGCTTATTCTGGGGTTTCTATGACTTTGGCCCACAAAAGTTTTTTTTAATCTTGAAAACATCCGTTCAATTTAGAAAAATTGCTGTCCCCCGGAAAACATTTTGTAAAATGCCTGAAAGACGACTTGGTTTCAGCGTCCGTTTTAATTCGATATTATTTCATTTGATTTATTGACATTGTTAATAATTTTGTAAGTACTTTTAAAAGAACACGTGCTGCTTTTCCTTCGTTCTCTTTCAACGCAAGCCCTGTGAGATTCATTGGAAGACCCAAAGTTTTTAAACACTGTGTCCGCATTTTCTTTCATCTTCATTTTCTCCACCGGAAGCTTAATTAATACAAACTCAGTTGATGAAACTTTGCAAAGTATTTGCTAGTTGTCCGAACGTTCCCTTTTAGCTTCTTTTGCGTGGATCATATTTTGCTGGTGTTTCATGCTTTTAACAGCCAGCCAGGTGATACTTTTCAACACTTTGCCTTTGAGTTTGGGTTTAAAGATTGTTTGAAATTGAGGTTTTTGTTTTTTTTTTCAGTGCAACTGTACATATCACTGTATCAGACGTCAATGAGTACTCGCCCACTTTCACTGAGCCGAGCTACGTTAGGCAAGTGGACGAGGGCAGAATATATGCAGAAATCCTGCGAGTTGAAGCCAAAGACCAAGATTGCACCCCGAAATTCGGAGATGTTTGCAAATATGAAATTTTGACTTCGGACCAACCGTTCGTCATCGATATGGACGGAGTCATCAGGTAAAACCTTGCTCTTGTTGATTAGTGAAATTGTTGCCAAAAACTGCGATTTTTTCTCAGAAACACTGAACCTTTGGACTATGAAAGATCGCACAATCACATTCTCAGCGTGGTTGCTTACGACTGTGGAATGCGGCAATCTTTTCCTGCCTTGGTCACGATCAAGGTAAATCGCGTCTGCAGACTGGGATGGAGAGGATTGCCCGAAAGGGTGGATTATGCCCCTATGAGCGGAAGACAGGAGCTGTTTCCAAGCGCCACCTTGGAATTGTGCGATGTGCCTTGCAATATCAGAGAAATGAGAGCTAGAGTTGACTTGGCTACTAGGTAGGAAAAATTCCCGTTTTCTTACAATCGACTCAATAGATAAAGTGTTGGACTCATTTTCAGGCATATTGGGAAAGGTTGTGATCGAGACACATATTCAGTTCAATCGCAGCGTAAACTTTGTGGAGCATCGCCGGCAGCTGTCGACTTATTGCCATCTCCAGGAGCAGGGGCCGAATGGACGAAGCCTTTGATATCAGATGAAGGTAATGATTGTCTCAATTTTGAGGCGGAGCCATTTCAATCGCCCTTTTGTTTCGCCAGGCCATGAATCCGATCAAATGTTCGAATTTGATGGCAGCAGCACTGCAGTTTCCATCCCCAATTCGGTACTCAATCACTCTTTATCACCGATTTTCACCATTGCCACCTGGATGCGGCATGGCGAGCACAGCGAGCACAGCGAAGAAGACAAGCATGTTAAAGAGCATATTCTATGTTCTGCTGATGACCACAGTAAGTACATAACCTACCCAAAGCCATAAGTAAGATAAAACTCAATAGAGCTCGCATTTATGACTGAATCGCCCGAGTTTGCCCGCTGATGTTGAAAATGTATGCGTAGATATAACGAAACGTCGCATATAAGATCCAATCGACATTCAATTTGAGTGCTTTTTTTCTTAGTCGATCGATCATGGAACGTTTAATTTCTTGTAATTTTTTAAACGACTACTAATCAGCCTGTTAATTTAAATGGATTTTCTTCCCAAACGAAATGATTAAATGAGGATCACTGCTAAAACATTCTTTAACAATTTTACACACTTTAATTCGCCAATAAACGCCTCATTAATCAGTAAATATTTTCCTGCCGGTTTTATTTACCTTCACCACATATATAAATATAATAAACCCAGATAAATAAGCAGTCCCTTGCAAGAGCTTTTCCAGATACGTTTTAAGTCGAATTAATTTTAATGGTATTTTGTGTTTGTCTTGCTGAAGCTGAATGTTTTTTGGTTTTTATATTATAGGTCCATCTCACCATAAAACGTTTGGTAAGGTTGATGTTGTTTGAGCAAAGTTTGTTTGTTGCCGAAATAACCGCTTGACTAAGTAGTTGGGCGCACTACTAAACAATTCAAATATAAAATGACTAACAGCAGAGAAGTTTGCGACAATATCCAAAGTGACATATTTTAACTTTTCCATTGTCTGGCTAACACAATTGCTCTAGCTGGAGCTAGAATAGAGCGAGTGCCGCCTTGCCTCGGATTAATTTGCATGCCAAACTAAGTCGAATTTTCTTCGGGCTAACTCCCGGCCTCAATTCCCCGAAATTGAATAAGATGTTATGAAAATTAATGTATGCAATAAGTTTCGAGCGCCACTTTTGTTCTCTTTGCCCATTCAATGGGGTGCCAGAGTGTTTTTTAGCTGTTATTAAATTAGCCCAAAAAATTCATAAGCTCGTTCTAGTCGTTGTTTCAATCTTAAGGGCCATGAATTGAAGCAAATCGCTACACTCAAGTTTATATGTATTTTTTTTAACCATTTGATGCGGATTTTTTACTGAATTTACCAATAATTTAAAAAGGAAAACTTTAAAGACAAAAGTTCAGTATTGACGAAGTACGAGAATTTAAATCGAAACTAGTTTGGGGTTTATTTCAAGTGGCAAAAGATTTAGAGTATGGAGTGAGAAAGGACGGAAAAACAATTTTCAAATTGACGCGATTTGACAATGCAAATTTTTCAGTTGGCGTTTTTGGTAATTTCAAAAAGTATTACAAAAACGCTCCCTTATTAAGCCCTGTTATACTGCACTTTTTCTGTTTTGAGCTCGTTCACAGCTTTCTTCTGAAAGTTCAGTGGTTCTTGTTTCGGAGCTCAGTAGAGTCGTAAGATCAGCAAATTTTCTTTATAGAAGCATTTATTAATTTCCCGATTTTATAGGGAACTTTAAAGTTTCTTAACATTTTACTTCTTTGTCCTGTTTTGCCAATTAGTGATTTTTCCTGTTCAAAAGTTGTCAAAGGAATACTTTCGGTTTTTCCGCTGTTATACAATGTTTCCTTACTTAAGCCTTTTTGGCCAAAGACATACAAGAAACTAGTGTTTTTTATTGCAAAATCTCAATTTCCAAATAGAAAAAGGTAAAACTAGAAAATGAAACGAACAGTTTCTGTCCCTTTGTTCTTTTTTTGGCTTCGAAGTTATCACACAAAACTGATACGAACGAACTTTTGGAAATCAGTGGCGAAAATGATCAATTTTTTAGCGGGTAGTCGTTTCATTTATCTTTCAATTATCTCTGTCTGTTTCCTACCAGCCAGAAACGTTGCGAGTGACAAGAGCGAAATGGAATTTTCATTACGAACACAAACAGTATCCGGTTTCATCGCGCCAAAAATTTTTGTTGGCAGTAGTCGGAATTGTTTCAAGTTATACGGAAAGGCAGGGACGAGTTATGAAAGTTTGGGGAGAAATGGCGCCTCCTCAAAAGCAATATATTTCCGAATTTTTATTACGTTAAATCATTATCTGGAACTCGCTAAAGCTACTGGGTAAATTGTTTATGAACAGGTCAAATTACGATTGTATTCCCGGCTCGATTTAAAGTGTACCGAAAACACCTTTTGAGGAAAAAACTCCGGTGTTACATCATTATGCAAGGAATTTCTGCTTGAAATTCAAGCGAAGTAGAATGTTGACTCTTTAACATCAAGGGTAGCGTGTTGTTTAAAAGGGTCCTAAAGTTGCCTTTGCAAATGCCAAAACAGCCCCCGATTTTTCCAGACGAAAGTTTGGCTCATCCCGACCAGAGAAGAAATCGTTAAAATGTCGCCATCAGGGCAATTTCACAGATTTTAGCATTTAATTGAATGAAACAAATTTGAATTTGAAATTGGTGGGCGCACCAATAGTAGGTTTTTGCCTGATGTAAATGGTTAATTGAGGGTTTGACCCCCCCAGTTCGGGTCGCGTTCAAACTTCCACAGTCACTTGGATCCATCTCTTGCATTATTATGGAATCGTTAATGGGACCTCGACGAAACGCCGGTTTCTTTTGCCGGGCAATACGATTTAATTAATTAAGAAAATTTAATAGGTTTAAGGAAATACGATCCTTGGAGAAATTGAAGTAACGACACACACCAGGAGATTAACTGCGTAATCTGTGGGGAGACGAGCAAAGGAGGAGAGTATTAAATCCAGCAGCTCGTTCATCATTGTGTAATAAAGTGGAGAATTTCATACGAAATGCGTGGTGGTTATTTGTGAAATCAATTTACATGATAAAGCATCCATTATTTAAGCAGACACTTTACAAAACGGAAAACGTTGCGGACGCAAATCATTCCCAAAGGGAGCAATATTTATTTGACGCTATCATGACTAACGGGACTGTCAGGACTTTTTGCGCCAACATTAAAGTTCGTTAATTTATTTACTTGGCAATTAATGTTTAATTGGCTTTGGATTGTCACTCTATTCCACTTCAAATTCGACCGCCAATGCCGAACTACATTTGATAATTTACGATGTCTGCAACATATGTACTAATGTATAAACCAAATTAGTCCCATGTTGTCTTTGTAGTCCGGATTTTGTTAGGTAAATAGTTAAATTCGTGGCTAAAATCGCGTATTTGGTCACATCAAGTTTGCTTTCTAGATTAGTTTTGAATGGAATTAGGTTGAATGGTTTTTGCTTCCTCCAAACAGTGATTTTTGCAGTTGTTTTTTCTGTCTTCGTATATTTGATTTTCTTTACTCCAGTCTCATTTTTCAGTTGGCTTAGATTGTTAGTCTTCCTTCCTTTTTCTGAGTGTTTTGAGGGCCTTGAAGAGAAGGCTCGGTTGCCTGCAATATTTTGCAAAATATATCCCATTATTTATTTTGCTTCTGCTATAATAATATAAATAATGAAGTGGTTTCGTTTTTATCACCGATGTTGCGATACTTCCATTTCTTAATTCTTTCGTGTTACTCTTGTCCCATTTTTTTCATTCTGTATGCTTGTTTTATTCTCTTCCTCGGACCACTTTTTAATCAACTTTAAATCCATTTTTTGTAAACTTCAATTTTATATCAGTACTCCTAGTACACTATGATTATTACACGCCAAATGAGTCCGTTTTTTTGTGGATATTTGCTTCACTCGATTGAATCAATGGCAACATTTTAAGCTGCCATTTGAAAGGAGAAAATTTGTCTCAATCGCTTGGTTTAGAGCCTCTTTTTCATGCAACTTTTTGTGTAAAAGGACAACCGTTCAACACTTTTACGCAACTTTTACTAAATTTAATAAACGATGCTTTAAACATATTAAAAGAGTTGGGCTTTCGCGCCTATTGCTTGAAACTGTTGAGATTTTCCGGGCTATTAGAGCGTAGTGGAAAAGGATGTTTTCCTGATGTTTCGTAAGTACATCTTCAGTCGTCCAAAATCTCTTCCACGACCAAAAGCCCAAAAACCCACCAGTTTCAAGTGGAAACAGAAATATGCACATTTAAGTTACTTAATTGCTAAAATTTCTACAGCTATTCGAGGGCTGAATTAGGAGTTTGGGGCCCCAAACAAATCAACCAGATTATGAACAATTAAATTGGAAGATAGAAAAAAATGGTAGTTTTATCTGGTGTTCAGGAAATAAGCAAACATGCCTGGTTGAATGGGCTTGGAAATTGGCGAAGCAAAAAACGAATAATCACCGGCCGTTATCGAATTCGTCTGTCATCCAAACCGTTCTATGTCGTAATTATTCGGAACAACTTTCCAACAAATTCGACATTCTGGCAAAGGTTAAAAGCGCTTTTCGAAAAAGCTACCGCGAGGCAATCAATTCCACATAAACCATATTTCTTTGTCGATTAAAAGTTCATTATTTCGACTGGCAAAGGGCCAAATAGCTCCCACTCTGGCTGAAAGTGGGGTGTGGGGCGCTGTGGGAGACGCACAGGGCTGGAAATCCGCTTTTTATGCAAATTTCTATTTAGGTCGGATGGGCGCGAGTCTCGTTTTTCCTTGAATCGAACGCGAACATTCTAAAATACCGATCGGATTTAATGCTGCGTGCGAATCTAACATCTTAGATTCACACGTTTCAAAATGCCATTTGGCCTAAATTCATTAATTAAATCCAATCTTTCCGATGGTAGCCGGATTTCATTCACTGCAGCCCCCATCAGTAATTAACATTTTTTTAGTTAAACCAATATTTTCTTTACAAATTGGTATTTTTTGCGTGATTTCTCTTGTAAATACGCACCCCCAGACGCGGTGCTAATTTGTTCCAAAACTTGCTTTAACAGCCCGATAATTGCGTGATATTTAACCAGTTTTAAGTGATTTGTTTAACAACGGATTTTCCTAAACAATAATTCTGTTATTTCAGAGATGAACAGACATCATTATGCGCTGTTCGTTCGAAATTGCAGAATGATTTTGCTGTTGAGACGCGACTTTTCCGAAGGCGACTTGAACATCTTCAGGCCAGCGGAATGGAGATGGAAGATCAGCCAGGTACGGTCATCGATGTAGATCAAAATCAAAGGATAATTTGGAAAAACTTTTTTTGATCGTAAAGATTGGTTGATTTTTGCGGAAGATTTCAGAAATTACCGCGTAACTTTAAATACTGTGTTAAAAACATGATGATTTTCGCATTCAATTATTAGTCAACGCACTTGTGGGAGATAATTGAATTTTCTACTTAATTACTTTAATTAATAAACAAACAGAAAATATTAATTTGTCAACTCACCACCCAAGTATGGGATTTTTTCCGAAACACCCTGAAGATAGTTTTGTTGCCAACATGCCCTTTCAAACGTAATTTACTGCTGCCATTTTTAAACTTGTATTTCTACGGAAGTTTAACAACGTTAATATTTGAACGGGAAACTTATGGACAGTGTCTTGGAACTGAAATGCGAAGAACTCGGTTAAAAATGTAAAATGGAGTTGAAAACTCCCAAACTTTGCAGAGTTACTGTTTAAAATTGACGTCTTTAGAGAAGACAAATTACTGTTTAAACACCGTTATCGGGTGGAAATTTTAAACTAATTCAAGTCTGGACTTTTGTCTGCTCAATTATGTCAGTAATTTAATGAGGCATAAACGATAGTTTAAAACCACGCAAAATGAGTAATCACGTAGGAAGTTAAGCAACTGTCTTCAAGTAAATCGTTCTAAACTAGAAAAAATTATAAATTTTAACATAACGCAACTTTAATACGCATTGTAAGTTGCAAAAAAAAATTTCAGGTTTGCGATGATCAATGGCATCACTATGCAATCAACGTGCGTTTCCCTAATGTGGAACTTTACGTTGATGGCCAACTCTTCAGGTCCGAAAAGAAGAATCCTGAAGTTATTGACGACTGGCCTTTACATCCTACTAAGGGAATCAATACCACTCTTACTGTTGGAGCTTGCTGGCAGGTAAGAAAAATCGCCTTTTTAACAATTACTTGATTTTTTTACAAACTTATTTTTGGGTATTTCGCCTCAAAAATGTTTGTCTTTAAAAAAGACAGAATTTCCTCACGTCTTTTATTACAGATTGATAAA